GGCTTTATTACATAATTAATCAGATTGAAAGCTATAAATATAAAATAAACTATGCGTTTCTATCGTATTAATAGAATAACATCAAATTTTACAAATATTGAGCATTGTGATATATGTCCACACACACGCATGCACAAACGCACGCACACACACACACACACACACACTTTATTTTGTTATTTTATTTGAGTATCAAGTCATTAAATCTGACACAGAATTATGAACTGTAATAAAATGTTTTTTAAACATATCTTCAAATTTCCCATATATATGAAGGTGTATGTGGGAGTACATAGCATTCAGTTATATAAAAGGCCAAAAATATTTGAAGTGACGGGCGAAACGGTGAATTATTGACTCCCTGTTATTGGAAGTGATGGTCGATATGGTGAATTATTGACTCCCTGTTATTGGAAGTGATGGTCGATATGGTGAATTATTGACTCCCTGTTATTGGAAGTGATGGGCGATACGGTGAATTATTGACTCCCTGTTATTGGAAGTGATGGGCAATATGGTGAATTATTGACTCCCTGTTATTAGAAGTGATGGTCGATATGGTGAATTATTGACTCCCTGTTATTGGAAGTGATGGTCGATATGGTGAATTATTGACTCCCTATTATTGGAAGTGACGGGCGAAACGGTGAATTATTGACTCCCTGTTATTAGAAGTGATGGGAGATATGGTGAATTATTGACTACCTGTTATTAGAAGTGATGGGCAATATGGTGAATTATTGACTCCCTGTTATTAGAAGTGATGGGCAATATGGTGAATTATTGACTCCCTGTTATTAGAAGTGATGGGCGATATGGTGAATTATTGACTCCCTATTATTGGAAGTAATGGGCGATATGGTGAATTATTGACTCCCTGTTATTAGAAGATGTTGGGGAAAATATTATGTATATATCTGTTTAACCCCTTAAGGACGGAGCCAAATGTACACGTTGTGAACAAAACAAAATGTAAACAAAACCTGGCATTTGCGCTACATGTCTGTCCAACCGTAATTCACCTCTTTCATAGTAAATGCACCCACCCTTATTATATATCATTTTATTCAGGGAAAACAGGGCTTTCATTTAATATCAAATATTTAGCTATGAAACATAATTTAATATGAAAAAAATGGGAGAAAATATGATTTTTTAAAATTTTTTTAGTTCTACATGACATTTTAACGTCAGTGTCATAATACTGTTTGCTTTTACTGCAATAAAATACACATATTTGTATTCAGTAAAGTCTCACGTGTAAGACAGTACCCCCTATGTACAGGTTTTATGGCGTTTTGGGAAGTTACAGGGTCAAATATAGCACGCTACATTTGAAATTGAAATTCGCCAGATTGGTTACGTTGCCTTTGAGACTGTATAATAGCCTGGGAATGAAATTTACACCCATAATGGCATACCATTTGCAATAGTAGACAACCCAAGGTATTGCAAATGGGGTATGTCCAGTCTTTTTTAGTAGCCATTTGGTCACAAACACTGGCCAAAGTTAGCGTTAGTATTTGTTTGTGTGTGAAAATGCAAAAAATGCCAATTTTGGCCAGTGTTTGTGACTAAGTGGCTACTAAAAAAGACTGGACATACCCCTTTTGCAATACCTTGGGTTGTCTCCTATTGCAAATGGTATGCCCTCATAGGGGTAATTTTCATTCTTGGGCTACCATAGGGTCTCCAAGGCACCATAACCAATCTGGCGAATTTTAATGTGAAAAAAATGAAACGCAAGCCTTATATTTGACGCTGTAACTTTTGAAAACACCATAAAACCTGTACATGAGGGGTACTGTTGTACTCGGGAGACTTCACTGAACACAATTATTTGTGTTTCAAAACAGTAAAAAGTATCATAGCAATAATATTGTCCGTTTAATGCTGTTTGTGCGTGAAAAATGCAAAAAACGTCACTTTTACTGGTGATATCATCGTTGTAATACATTTTAATGTTTTGAAACACTAATATTTGTGTTCAGCGAAGTCTCCTGAGTAGAACAGTACCCCCCATATACAGGTTTTATGGTGTCTCGGAAAGTTATAGGGTTAAATATAGTGCTAGCAAATTAAATTCCCTTTACTTTCGGCATGGGTTGTCATGCAGGTCCTGCTAATTGTAATTAATTAAGATATCTAATTATGTAAAAATATTACATAAATATATATGTAGAATCAATATATGTATATATATACGTATGTGTATATATATGTATATATCTATATAATTTTTTTAAAATATTTTTATTTATATATAGGTATATATATAGTGATATATACGTATATATTTATGTGTATAAATATATATTTTATTTCGTTCTATGTGTATTTTGATATATATATATATATATATAAATTTCACAATACAGTTAGAACGAAATAACACACATCTATATATTTTTAATTATTTATTTTTAATTATTTTTGTAATTTTATTTTTTAACGTATTTACATTTTAATTTTTTTTATAATATATATAAATATATATATAACAATAATTATATATATATTTAATCAGTATCAGTGTACGTGTAATTTGATATTAATATATAGTAAATAGTAAAATACACCTAGACGGTGTACATGTGTGTATGTATATGTGTATATATATACTTTGATCATATATATATAATATATATATATGATCTAAGTATATATAATTTTATTTTTTTACACTTTTAACTTATTTTACTTTTATTTTCAGCCAGCAGGGGGACCCCCTGTAATTACAGGCAGCCCCCCTGCTGGCAATACAGAAGCCAGCCATACCCGGCCATGTGATTGTGGGGTCCTCGCTAGGACCCCACTCTCACACGGCCGGGGGGCTTCCTGGAGGACGGTCGTGCCGCGGGGGGCTCCCTGGGAGTCCCCCCCACCGCGATCGCCGGCGTGGGACCGCCGGCGACCGGGTAAGTACAGAAAGACCGGAGGGCGTACTATTACGCCCGGCGGCGTTTAGAGCCGCCTATTAGAGGACGTAATAGTACGCCCTGCGGTCTTAAGGGGTTAATATGTGCTTGATTAAGTCTGTGTGTATGGGAGGTCAGGAATTATCTTCAAAGGGAGTTTCTGTTTAGATAGTTGGAAAGATACAACACCTGAAAGGCACCAATCACATTTACATATCAACTGGTCTTCAAAGGAGTCCCTATCTAGGAAAACACACCTTGGGTTAGAGGCAAAGGGATGGCTGGGAGAGTTAACACTTAAATAAAATAACAGGATAGACAACACTTTGGGCCTTGGGAAAGGAAATCACATTTCAATATCAATTGAGCTGAGGAATTGGCTATTTACAACATGGGAACCAATTCCTTTAAAAATAGAAGATACTGACATCACATTAGATCAGGTTTGGTAAGACACACAAGCTGCACATAACATGCACGGCACATACACAATGTAGCCAATATTATTATACACAATGTAGCAGATATTATTATACACAATGTAGCCAATATTATTATACACAATGTAGCAGATATTATTATACACAATGTAGCCAATATTATTATACACAATGTAGCAGATATTATTATACACAATGTAGCCAATATTATTATACACAATGTAGCAGATATTATTATACACAATGTAGCAGATAGTATTATACACAATGTAGCAGATATTATTATACACAATGTAGCCGATATTATTATACACAATGTAGCCAATATTATTATACACAATGTAGCAGATATTATTATACACAATGTAGCAGATATTATTATACACAATGTAGCAGATAGTATTATACACAATGTAGCAGATATTATTATACACAATGTAGCCAATATTATTATACACAATGTAGCAGATAGTATTATACACAATGTAGCAGATAGTATTAGATAGATGGAATGTATGAGTGTTATGAATGTATTGTAACTGTAATACTATAACTCTGTAACATTCTTCTTCTGTAATATTTAATTGGGCAGATTCTAAGTAAAGATTTCTCTCTGGTAAGAACTATGGTGTTGGCTGTTTATTTGTAATATCGGGTAGAATACCTTAGTAGTTCTAGACATATATTTATCTGGACAAGGGGATAAAGATATATGTTAGTTCTTGGAAGAGGTGACACAGGGATATTACATTCACTATTAAAAACACAACGCAGAGTGGATTTCTCTCAAAAGGATACCAATTGGAAGTATTGGTGGTGAGAGAAGGATTATACAACAGAAGAGACTGGACATATGGTGAATTATTGATTCCCTGTTATTGGGAGTGACTGCTGATACAGTGAATAATTGACTCGCTATTATTGGAAGTGATGGGCGAAATGGTGAATTATTGACTCCCTGTTATTAGAAGTGACGGGCGAAATGGTGAATTATTGACTCCCTGTTATTGGAAGAGATGGGCGATACAGTGAATTATTGACTCGCTTTTATTGGAAGTGACGGGTGATATGGTGAATTATTGACTCCCTGTTATTGAAAGTGTCGAGCGATATAGTGAATTATTTACTCCCTGTTATAAGAAGTGATGGTAGATATGATGAATTATTGGCTCCCTGTTATTGGAAGTGATGGGCGATACAGTGAATTATTGACTCCCTGTTATTAAAAGTGACGGGCGATATGGTGAATTATTGACTCACTATTATTGGAAAGGATGGGCGATATGGTGAATTATTGACTCCCTGTTATTAGAAGTGAGGGGTGATATGGTGAATTATTGACTACCTGTTATTGGAAGTGACATAGAAACATAGAATGTGACGGTAGATAAGAACCATTCGGCCCATCTAGTCTGCCCAATTTTCTAAATACTTTCATTAGTCCCTGGCCTTATCTTATAGTTAGGATAGCCTTATGCCTATCCCACGCATACTTAAACTCCTTTACTGTGTTAACCTCTACCACTTCAGCTGGAAGGCTATTCCATGCATCCACTACCCTCTCAGTAAAGTAATACTTCCTGATATTATTCTTAAACCTTTGTCCCTCTAATTTAAGACTAATTCCTCTTGTTGTGGTAGTTTTTCTTCTTTTAAATATAGTCTCCTCCTTTACTGTGTTGATTCCCTTTATGTATTTAAATGTTTCTATCATATCCCCCCTGTCTCGTCTTTCCTCCAAGCTATACATGTCAAGATCCTTTAACCTTTCCTGGTAAGTTTTATCCTGCAATCCATGAACCAGTTTAGTAGTCCTTCTCTGAACTCCCTCTAAGGTATCAATATCCTTCTGAAGATACAGTCTCCAGTACTGCGTACAATACTCCAAGTGAGGTCTCACCAGTATTCTGTACAATGGCATGAGCACTTCCCTCTTTCTACTGCTAATACCTCTCCCTATACAACCAAGCATTCTGCTAGCATTTCCTGCTGCTCTATTACATTGTCTGCCTACCTTTAAGTCATCAGAAATAATCACCCCTAAGTCCCTTTCCTCATATGTTGAAGTTAGGACTCTATCAAATATTCTGTACTCTGCCCTTGAGTTTTTACGTCCAAGATGCATTATCTTGCACTTATCCACATTAAATGTCAGTTGCCACAATTCTGACCATTTTTCTAGTTTACCTAAATCATTTGTCATTTGGCTTATCCCTCCTGGAACATCAACCCTGTTACATATCTTAGTATCATTAGCAAAAGACATACCTTACCATCAAGACCTTCTGCAATATCACTAATAAAAATATTAAAGAGAATGGGTCCAAGTACAGATCCCTGAGGTACCCCACTGGTGACAAGCCCAAGCTTTGAATATACTCCATTGACTACAACCCTCTGTTGCCTGTCACTCAGCCACTGCCTTACCCATTCAACAATATTGGAATCCAAACTTAAAGATTGCAGTTTATTGATAAGCCTTCCATGTGCAACAGTGTCAAAAGCCTTACTGAAATCTAGGTAAGCAATGTCTACTGCACCACCCTGATCTATAATTTTAGGTACCCAATCAAAAAAAATCAATAAGATTAGTTTGGCATGATCTCCCTGAAGTAAACCCATGTTGTCTCTGATCTTGAAATCCATGTGTTTTTAGATGTTCAACAATCCTATCCTTTAACATGATTTCCATCACTTTCCCCACTACTGAAGTAAGGCTTACTGGCCTATAGTTGCCTGACTCCTCCCTATTACCTTTCTTGTAAATGGGCACAACATTCGCTAACTTCCAATCTTCTGGGACTACTCCTGTTAACAATGATTGGTTAAATAAATCTGTTAATTGTTTTGCTAGTACACCACTAAGCTCTTTTAATAGCTTTGGGTGTATTCCATCAGGTCCCATTGACTTATTTGTCTTACTTTTGACAGTTGAAATAGAACCTCTTCCTCTGTAAACTCACGTGTAATAAATGACTCATTTATCCTTTTTCTTAACTGAGGCCCCTTTCCTTCATTTTCATCTGTAAATACAGAACAAAAATATTAATTGAGGCAGTCAGCTAGACCTTTATCCTCTTCTACATACCTTCCTTCTTTTGTTTTTAATGTAACTAATCCTTGTTTTACTTTTCTTTTCTCATTTATGTATCTAAAAAAAGTTTTGTCCCCCTTTTTTACTGACTGTGCTATTTTCTCTTCTGTGTGTGATTTGGAAGCTCTTATAACTTGCTTAGCCTCTTTCTGCCTAATCTTATAGATCATTCTGTCTTCCTCACTATGGTTTTTTTTATAATTACTAAATGCTAACTTTGTGTTTTTTACTATTTTGGCCACATCTGCGGAGTACCACAGTGGTTTCTTGAATTTTTTGCTTTTACTGACAAGCCTAATGCAATTTTCTGTTGCCTTCAGCAGTGCAACTTTTAAATAATCCCATTTCTCTTGGACTCATTTAAATTGCTCCAGTCTGATAATGACTCCTTTACACATATTCTAATTTTAGAAAAGTCTTGTGACGAGACCAATCTCGCCACATTGCATTGGAGAAGCCTGGTTGCTCGCCTGCTGCCTCTAGACTATGGCCCCCTTTTAAAAGACTTTATTTCGCCTGCAGAAAAGCTGTATTCGTGCTTTTCTGGCGGTTGTTCGGTAGATTCAATCTACCAAACAACCGCACGAATGAATAGACCACCTGGGAGCTGGAGTGTGCTGGCAATTAACCTCCCTGAAGCTGCGGTTAACCGCCGGGTGGAATGCTGGGTGGCCGCCATTCGTATCCCGAACACGAGGTCGCGGCCATTTTAAACATGCGAATGCACAGCGGTGTTCGCCCCTATTTTCATGGAACTAAAATCGGACACAGTTTTGCGCGAACACCGCTGAAGCCACCGCGACCTCCCTTCTTGTTCGGTGGAAGTGCACGAACGGCCCGGTGTTCGGTAGTTTTGTTGAATGTGTTATACCCCAGATAGGAATCCCATGGAGCCCATTCATATGAAACTGACTGTAAAGACTTTGGCTCCATGGCGATTAAACTGTATTTGTGTGGTCTGAGCCATTCGCTTAATAATGTGCGCTCAGACCTGAGCTATCTGGGGATATGTTACATGTCTGTGTTTTATGTAATAAATTTTATTTTATGTATTTTAAAGTATAATACTGGTTTTGTGTCCCCACGTGTGTAATGGAGTTTTGCCTTTGTCCTGGGAGATAATTGAATTACTTCTCCAGGGCAGAGGGAGGAAGCCAGGATGCATTGTGGGGATGTTTTACTTCTGTATGTCTGTAATTGGTACATGTCTGTCTTTTGTTACAGTCTTCCATCTGGTCCTCCTAGGGGAGTGTCCACCAGGTGGGAGACCTGCATAAATACTGGGCAGGTAGCCCTCATTAAACAGACCACTGCTTGACCCACAACACGGAGCCTTGTCTCGTCTTTGGGGGGGATTTACTGTATGCTGCTAAGGACTGATTGCCAGGAGTGTAAGCCGCTTGGGAGCTTTTCCTGTTCGTCTGTTAGCAGCTATTCGTATGGTTCCTTTTCGTGTATTTGGAGTGCTGTATTGGATGCCGTTCGGGAGTTTGGAGCATTCACTTATTGGCGGTTCGTGTGTTTGTTCTGCAGTAGCTGTGCCTGCGTCACCACGATAGAAGCTGTCACCTACCTGTGAGGGGGTGTGGCCTCAAAAGTGGCCAACGGCCAGCACTTGAGCCTCCCAGGACATGGGGCAAACAAGGTAACCGCCCCCTCCAAAGTGCCGCCCAAGGCAAATGGCTTGTTTGCCTCGTGTAAGATACATCGTTGGGTATAATACCATTCATAAATTACCTTATCATGGGTCTCTACATAGTTTAGACAATGTATATTTTTTGTAACCAGATGGAGACCTTTCGCCCATTCAGTTGTATTTATTTGGTGGCCCAGTATTTTTTCCCATCTAGTGATTACTGAGATATCCAAAGGGGACATAGACGATATAAATTCCATTGATCTTGATAAGGGTCTATTTACAATATCTCTACTCAGTAAGCTAGATAACCTAGACCAATACTCTGATGGAGAATCAATCTTGCAGAGATCTATAACGTTTTTAATTCTCAGATATGAGAATAATTCATTGTTTGGGAGAGGAAATTCTACTTGTACTCGGGGGAATTATTTAATATTAATACCATCCATAAGTTGGTTTATACTTTTTATACGATGTCTTATCCAATTTCTTATCGTAATATTTTCTATATTTGCTTCAACTATCTCAATTTTGAAGAAAATTGAGAATTCTTTTTTCTAAATGTATCTTTTTCTTTAATCTTTCCCACTCTTCCATTAGATTATTTACAATAAGATTATTTTTCCAACTCTGTTTTAAAATATAAGTATCTTCAATATTCCATATGGCTGTTTCCCAATTATTCATATCAGTCATATCACATTCGACTTGATGCCAGATTTCTTTCTTATTATTTTGTAGTTGAGATCTGTATATATGTGTTAAAATATTAGCTCTATAAAGATCTCCCACTAAAGGCATATTAATTTGGCCTTTTTTAAATTTTCAATGCTAAGCTGTTTCTGTTTATTCTCGGGGTTCTACCTTTCCAGACAAAATCATCGAAGATTCTCTGGATCATTGTTATCCATGGAGATGTTCATGTACCTTCAAGGGAATCAAATGAAAAAGGTAAGACCATTTCGGTAAAACATAATTTCGAATGGTATTTACTCTTCCCCACCATGATAATTCATACATTGTCCATTGTGACGAGACCAATCTCGCCACTGTGCATTGGAGGAGCCTGGTTGCCCGCCTGCTGCCTTTAGACTATGTCCCCATGTTGAAACGCTTGATTTTCCCCTGCAAAGACATGATAGCTGGGTCCTTCGGTACTTGCCCTATTTGAACAATGATACCCCAGATAGCTATGCCATGGAGCCCATTCGTATAACGAAAGACTATGTGAAAGACTTTGGCTCCATGGCAATTGAACTGCATGTATGTGATCTGAGCGCCATTCAGTAATAATGTGCGCTCAGATCTAAGCTATCTGGGGATATGTTGAATGTACCTGTTTTATGCAATAGCTGCACAGTTATATATTTTTTATGTATTTTATTGTCTTTTGCTACTATGTGTTCAATGGAGTTTTGCCTCTGTCCTTGGAGATAATTGGATTACTTTCCAATTATCTCCCGGATAGAAAACTCTGTGGAACTGGTTTTGGGCAGAAAAGCCATGCTTCATTTGGTCATAAAGGACTTCCAGCTAACTTTTTAAGTACTGGACGGATTTGGTTGAATTTTGGTTATGTTTATATTGAAAGTATGCTGATTCTGAAAAAGTTTTATGTGAATGTGATGTATACTTTTAAAGTTATGAATAATGTGGAAAAACTGTATTTCTCTGCCTGTAATAATTACATTAGCCCATTGTGTAAGGTAATTGTATCACAGGCAGAGGGGAGGATTTTGTGTGGGAGTGTCTGAGTGTATTGTACGTGTTTATTGGTTGTGTTCCAAAACCCTGTGGGTGGTACTAATGTGTAAGAATGTGTACATAAGCACAATAAACCCACAGCTCTGTCTGTTCACTGCTTGACCCTCAACACGGAGCTTTGTCTCGTTCTCGGGGGGATTTACTGTATGCTGTTTCAGTTCAACTGCTAGGAGTGTAAACCTATTCGTATGGTTTTTCCTATTAGGCTGTTTACAGCATTTGTATGTCTGAGAGCATTCAATGCTTCTCCGGTTCGGTGGATTGGTGTCTACAGTAGCTGCTTGTATATCTGGAAGGGAATATCGCCTAAACGGCTGTTAACCCCTTTTATGCCTGGGGGTGCCGTTACATCCATTTTAAAAATATTTTATTAGTCTGTCTTAAAAGCTTTAAAAAATTCAACTACATGGTCCTTTGGACCTCTCCTACCACTTTAAGGCCCAAGTATTTCATACTCTATTTTGCCCAAATAAATTCAAAGTTATTTTGGAATTGTTCTGTTTTTG